CGGTTCGTCATAAAATAATTGCAAGATGAAAAATAAATTAGTTTCATTAATAATAATGAATGTTAACATAAAAATAATAAATTACTTTACAAAAAATAGATTAGTTTCATTAATAATATGATATACATGATATGGTTTTCTTGAATAAATGAATATTTGGTTTTACCCTTTTGCCCTTATCGGTATTATAAAATGTATTTTCAATTTTTTTTAATTTTTAATTTCCTTAAATAACTTTGATTAATCTTAACCATTGATCAAGAAAATGGATGGATGAGATTGGTTTACACGGTTTACACAAATGGAGGCGGTTTTTATTTGATCGCTCCTCTCTCTCTCTCTCTCTCTCTCTCTCTATATATATATATATATATATATATAACTGAATATAAATTATTATGAAACTGCTTTTATTTAATCAAGATTTATCAATCTACCTTTTATAATATACTAGAAAGATATTCATATAATGCAGTGAGATATATCTCGATATCAATGTTTTATTTTATTTTTTGGTCTCTGTCGATATTATAATACGAATTTACGTGGTTTTGAGCAAACAATAATGTTTTTTTTGATAAAATATAAATTTGAAGATATCATAAAAATTAAAAAAATATAAAATTCTCATTTTTTGTGTAATATCTTTAATTCAACTTTTTTTATTATAATTTAATTTTGATTTAATGATAAAGTAATTTATTTTTACTTTAATAATATAATTTTTATAAAGATAATAACTAAGTATTATATTATAACTCAATAATTATCCTAATTATATTTTATATTTAAAATAAAGAAATTATCATGTATTTGATTATCTTTATCTACAGTTAGTTACACGAATCCAAACATGGAGCTTAATAAGTTGTACTTACCCGCAATTTACTTGTAATCTTGAACTTTAAGTAATATGCATCAATAAGTAATACTTCGTGTATAAAGGATAGTTTTTAAGAGTTTTTCTCAAATGCTTTATGATATAGTGTGTGTGTGTGTGTGTGTGTGTGTATATATATATATATATAGATCTATTCAAGGGAGAATTGATTAGTTTGTTGTAATCGTGAGATCCAATGTGAACCACTCATTTGAGATATTTAAGGATCTTTTTTAAATAAGCTAAAAGAATAATATAGTAATTCTATTTTTAACAACTAATCAAAATATTTAATTAAATTTTTTGGAATGAAATATTTAATTAAAATTAGTTAACCAGTATATCAATTACCTAATATACATCGTATTTTAAAGACGTTTGTGAATCAAAGTGTATCGTAGTGATAACGTCCACAATGTTTTACGCGTATCACAATGTATTTTCTTTGTTTTATGAAATGTATCATAGTGTGCATTTTCGTTATTTTCATTGTTTTACAAAGAATATCACATTGTGCATTTTGTATGTATATCTTGATATCACAGTGAATATCATTTGTAGATATCACCGTGTGTATCTTGTGTTCATATACATTGTGCATTGTTCATATATCTTGGTATTGTACTAAGAAAAGCGGATTAAAGTATAATTTACTTATTTTCCAAAAATAAATTAGTCCATTAAAACTCATAATTAACCGGTTGGGATAGGCTTGATAAGATAAAAAGTTTTTTATTCTAATACTGTGTATCAATTAATTATAATTTACTAGGAGGGTATTCGTGCAATGCATCGAGATATATTTCCATTTCAATGTTTTGTTTTGTTTTTTTTCCCATGTCGATATAATACGATTTTATGTGGTTTTGAAAAAGCGATAATGTTTTTATTTTTGAATAAAATATAAATTTGAAAATATCATATAAAATTTGCAAAAAATATAAATATTAGTATCAAAGTAACTATTTAAAAGTTCTTATTTGTTTATTCTTTTTAATTTAAAATTTTTATTATAATTTAATTTTTAAATTTAATAATATAATATTTTATAAAGATAATAATCAAGTATTCTCTTAGAACTCAATAATTATTCTAATTATATTTTAGATTTTTTTATATTTTAAAATGAGATGTTTATTCTCTATTTGATTATGTTTATCCGTAATTAGTTACACGAATTCAAACATAGAGCTTTAATAAGTTGTATTTATGCATAATTTACTTATAATCTTGAACTTTAAGTAATATGCATCAATAAACAGTACTTTATGCATAAAAAATGATTTTTAAGAGTTTTTGTCAAATGTTTTATAATATAGTATAGATAAATAAAATGTTATACTATGTACTAATCAATTGTATTTTGCACCAACTTAATCGGTACCAAAAAAATTCAGTTGCCACATGTTGGTGCTAGTTTGTACCAACTTCAGGGTCGTCCATTACCATGTTAAATGTGAGATTTTGTACAAGGCCTCCGAAATTTTGGGGCCTAAATTTACATGTGTTTAGGGTCTTTTTATCGACCTGTGTAGAACTATAGCCGAAATTATTTAGGTTCAAACCATTAATTGTTTGGTTTTAGGTTCAAATTATTAATAGTTTAAGTTTAGTTTCATATTGTTAATCGTCTTATGTTTAGCCCATTTTTGTTCTTAACATATATATTCTCTGTTATCTTATTTATACAATATACAATCAAAAGTTTTGAATGTAACAGGACCTCTAAAAAAATTGGAACGTCTCTGACCAACTTCAAATAACATGTATGAAATCTGCCATTTTGTTCAAATTGTGAGTAACATTTTAAGTTTCCATGTAACATATACAGACCAACTGTAACTAGGACAATTAAACTGGTACAGTTAATATACATGTTGACCGATTGGTTTGTTATGCCAATTAAATTGTTATAATGCACCAACGTACAAGCAATAAAGCATAAGGTATAAGGGGTGGGTATGGTACGGTACCAAGTTTTTTTTTTTTGGAATACAGTGTACCAACTAATTATAATTGGTATGTAAAATCTTATATTGTGTATCAATCAACTGTACTTGATACCAATTTAACTGATACCAACAATGTTCGGCTGGTACTGGTTTTGTACCAACTTCAGGTTATATATATGAAAATTTGTCCATTTATTCAAATTTTGAGTAACATTTTGAGTTTGTAGGTAACACATGTGATGTTTTAAAGGTTATTAATAAAAAATAAAACTGGCAAACATTTGATATTTAAATAAGATAGTTAAAAGTAAAATGTTTAATGTTTAATAAATATTAAATATGAAAAACTAATCACTAATAAAATAAATCAGTATCATGGTATTATGGTATTACCAGATACACGACTTTAATATTGTATATCGATCAAATTTATATACTTGATATTAAATAGTCATTTCTGACATTCAGACGGTTTATTCAACCGACAACTGTACAATAACTTATCTATTATCATGCAGACAACTTTATCAATACGGACATCTTTATTCATACAGATCTAAAAAAACGATAATAACAAATCCTTGTTATTTTTAGGTAATTTCTTTCTTTAGAGGTTAAAATTTTCAAATTAAGAAATGTGTACATATTTAATGCATAGTGTACAAGTCATAATAAGAGGATAGTTCTGAATTTAGAAATTTTAGCTCTGAGAAAGAGGATTACCCACTTTTATGTTACTCCGTGGACATGCTCATAACGTGTCGCATAACTCCGTTAAATGTAACTTACTTTTCTTTTAGCTCCTTATTTAACAGTTAATTGCAGTTTAACCCCTCAAACTTTTAGTCGTTTTCCAAATTGGTGTTATAACTATACGACCTAACATAAGCATCAATTTATTTACGTAATTCAAACATTTTTGTTTATTTTCAGGTTAAATGTAAAGAATAACTTAACGAGGTTAACGAGATTCACAATTTATTTGGTAAGTTATGCATGACTTTTTGGCAGTGTCTTAATGATATAAAAAATGACTTATTTAATGGCGGATTTTTGCATAAGAGTTGGGGGGTCATAAATTTTCAAATTTTGGTTTTTTATATTATAAATATATCTCTAATTTTTTACCTCGAAAAATTTATAAATTTGAATTTCGACCACCATTATGGAACTTCCTAGATCCAGTACTGCTCCCAATTAAAAAAAAACATGTTACTTTCATACATGAAAAAACTCTTTCAAACAAAAACTTTCTCCATCTATACAGACAAATTAATATATACAACCAGTTTTATCCATATAGGACTTAATGGAAATTCAACCAAACAACCAGTGGCAGATCCAGGAAATTAATGGGGTGGGGGCACGTTGGATGAGACTTGGGGGATGGAAGCATATGGTCATATGGGACTTGGGGAAAACTTTGTAAGACGCTGGTGAAAATAGAAAATTTAAGATAGCTAACAAAGGTTTTTGGTTTTTGACTAGGGGACTTTCCCCCCAGTGCTTAAAGGCTGGATTCATCCCTGCAAACAACCCCTTGACCACTGCACATAAAATCCAACCATAACTTCATCGATAAAACTTTAATCACCAAATTTTGGAAAATTACCAATAATATATCTGAACTCTGAAAAGAGTTAAGAGTTTCATTTAATATAACATATACAAAACTGAATGTTATCCTCAATGCTACTTATACACAGAAAATGGTAATCAGCTTTATCCTCAATTGAACACACCTGATTTTCAAACGAACGAACATGAACACAAAGATTTTCGTTCGTTTACTGTTCGTGTTCGTTCGTTTGTTCGGTTAAGTTAAAGGAACGAACATGAACAAGCCTTCATTCGTGTTCGTTCGGTTCGTTTACAGCCCTAATTGTCCATAAACTCACATATTTTTACATATAAACATGTTTAAAGCAATATTTAGATGATTAATTGAAACTTTTATGTAATAACCACAAAGTTGAGGGGGTTTATGAAAATAAAAGCTTATCAAACGGTAGATCGTTAACGACTTTACTGTGAAAACCATCTAAAACGACTTTCGCTCCATCATTTCCTCTGAAGAAGAATCAGATTCTCTCTCACTCACACCCCCCCCCCCTTTTTCTACGTGTGGCGGCCGAGCGGTTAAAAGGTAGGGTTTGATCATATTGAATCTGCGGGTTTTTGATATCTGATTGATGCTTATATGTATGTATATATCGAATTTTGAGGTTAAGATGATTAGGTGTGTTGTTTTTGTTAATTTGGAAGATTATCCGTGATTTAATGGTTTGTCGGCAATTATTTCGGATCTCTGCTTGCTATGAAGAGCTTGATTCGTCGTATTTTTAGGGTTTCTGCGACTGAGGACTCGAAGCTCTTTCATCCTGCAAATCAGCAGTTGAATAGACTTGGGTGATTTTTCGGTTAATCTTGTCTATTTTATTTATCTTTTCGTGATTCCTTGAAGTTATATCATTGACATTGAACGAGAAAAAGAGCCAGAAAATACATGATGCTGTGAGGTATCGAATAGAATAGTCAGATTGTTGGATTTTTGTGAATTCAGTATCGTGAGTTTCAATTGTTATTGGTTACTTATGAATTTATTTTCCCTTGATATTTCGCTTTTAACATTTGAGATTGCAGGCGGTTGGAATTTGTAGTTACTGTTTACTGTTGATTAAGAAAACATGGCCAGTGTATATAAGATCATACAGTTGGTTTGTGACTAGAAATAGTTATTTGGTTGTGTCCGTCTGGTTATTTTAGGGGATTTAATTGGCTATTTTATTGTGGTAACCACCTCTCACAATATGCAGTAGTATTTTGTGCATTTGGGATTTTGAACTTTTTGATTGTCTGCTACTTCTGTTTTAATTTTGTGTAAGGTCGAGGCTTGGGTGATTGCGCTTGTACTATTGGCAGAAACAATACTTGAGAGTAAAAGTGAGGAGAATCTATGCATTTCTTCAATAGATTGTTTTAACGCTTTACTTATTTTAAGGAAAGATATATTTACGATTGTTGCTTTTGGTTCCATTAATTTCTAGATATAAGTAAAGTTCCCTGAACCTTCCTTCCCAAGGGAGAAATGCATCTAGCTTTTATACCTTTTACATTGTGTCAGTTTGTTGATGCCTTCTAGTCTAATTTATATTCTCCACCTGAAAAGTAGACCTTTATGGTCTTTCTAGCTGCAGGTTACATGTACAAGAATTTGCATGTATGGAAATTCATTATCTATTATGAGCTCTAGTCTCCAATATCTTCAATGGTATTATCTGACCATTGACGTCATATTCAGATTTCAGAGGAAAACAATAGTTGCTTCAAGTGAGAACATTTTGTATTCCTAGTGGGACTGGTGGTTGTTGCTCAAATTATTCATGTGAGTGAAGATGGGCTCTGCATGTTGTGTTGCTGCTAGAGATAGAACCATTACAGATCAATCTGTTAGTGATGTTATGCCAAGGAATGATAGGTATTCACCGTCGTGGAGCTTCCGCTGGGATAACCGAGGGCGTGTAGCAGGTGAAGAGTCATCCATGAATTGCTTCCCTGATGGTGCTGGTGTGAATGATAGGTTGGACAATAAATCTCATACAACTGTAGAAACCGCTTATGCAACAGAACAAGGCAGCCCATTGGATAGTTCTCGAAGCCTCGCCTGGCAAAAGTCGCCACCTTCTGAAGAAAATGGAGTTCCTCAGTCAGGTGAGTTTATCCTAATGAAAAAGTACATGATATATCATGTTGCAATATTTCTGTTTTTTAGGTTGAGTATTTTATCAATTATCACCCATGAATTGGTTTTTAATTTAAGTTCCATGTGTAAACCCAAATAATTCCTTGTTTGGTTCCATATTCGTTCCTGTTTCTAGTGTATGAGACTCTCAATCATCACAGTGATTTTAGCCTGTTGAAATGTAAGTCTCATTCAAGCCCCATTGCCATGTTGGGTTGCTTAGCTTCACTTTTATCAGGCCAGAATACCCTGTTTCTGTTGGTTACATGATCAGCCCACTTATAAAACCATCTGTTAGGGCTTTAGCTTGTTTGCTGAACTCATGCAGGAAAGCTGTGTATCATTTAGCGACATATATATGTTATTCCCAGTAGCTTTTGCAATATTTTTCAGCATGTCGGCGAAGGTTATCTTTGCTGTGCCATGCCAATGTGGAGAGGGTCGCAAACAATGGGTTGATTTGAATCAACAGGTTGAATAAAATACCGTTACATGGGAAAGTGAGCCTTTCCTCTTTTCGGTATTTAACGAGTTAACCAGAAGAAAACAAGCATACGAACATATGCTTTGTAATCATTTTTTCACCGAGATCTGGAAAACCACATTCGAAGGGTGGAGACTTTTTCCACCCTCCCATTGAACATAAGCTTTTTAATAGGAAGGATGATGACTGATATCCATGGGTTTAGCATGGAGTGAGCCTTTTCTTGACAACTCCTTTCGTCTAAATATTGGAATCATGAGATCGAGTTAAAATGAGGAAACCTACGGCAACTGTTCTTTAAAGAATTTCATGTGAAAATATAGTGGATGAATGTAGATATTGTCACATGGCCGTGAGTCTTTTTAGCTATGGCTTGAAACACTCAAGTATAAAGTGCAGCCTTTTTCTTTTTTTGGGAAGTTCTATCTCAGTTAACCAACAACTCAACAGGGGTTGTTTCTTAGCTCAGGGGCTGTTTGTTTGGCTCTTAATGGTGACATTAAGAGCCAACCACTTAATCGGTCAGAGGTTGAAGTTGTTTGGCAAAAAAAAAATGCCTTTTAATGGTTACAATCCCCCTCTTAACCATTTTGCATCTAGGGTACCACTAAACCATTCAGATTACGATTCTTCCCTATTTACCCTTCCACACCCTTTACCAGCTGCAGTCATCGTCTCCTTCACCCAAGTCATCGCCTTGCCGGTTATCGCCTCCATCTCCATCTTCTCCATCGCGCCGGTGACCTCCGCTGTCTGTGTCGTCGCCGCGCTTTCCACAGCTTCGTCGCCGTTATCTTCTGTTTTGTCTCCCGTTATCTTCTGTTTTGTCGCCGGTATCTTCTGTTTTGTCACCGTCGCCGCACTTTCTATCAGGTAACTTGTCTCCCGTTATCTTCT